AGCAGGATGCACTCCTCTCACCATCCACAAAAATCAACTCAAGGTGCATCAGGGACCTAGCCGTAAAGCCCCAAACCATAAAGATGATAAGAGACAAAGTAGAACCACATTTAGAAGGCCTAGCTCGTGCTATGAAAAGGCTGACAAATGCACAACCAGAAGAGGATAAAATTGATGAATGGGACCTTCTAAAGATTAAATCCCTGTGTGCATCAAAAACATTTTCAACAGAGTGAAAAGAAAACCTACTGACTGGGAAAACACATTTAGCAATACTATTTCAGACAAAGGTCTCTTAACAAAAGTTTACAGAATCCTGCAAGGCTTCCACAAGAAAAAGATTGATAACCCAGTCACAAAATGGGCAAAAGACATGGAAAGACCTTTCACAGAGGAAGATATTCAAATGGCCAACAGACACATGAAGAAATGCTCAAAATCACTGGCAGGAAGAGAGATGTAAATCAGAACCACAGGAGATACTATATCACCCCAGTAGCAGAAGCAAAATTTAACAGGCCAGCAATGAATAAATGTTGCATTGGCTGTGGGGAAATAGGAAGTCTTTTTTTTTTTTTTACAATTTGAATATTCTGATTTATTAATATGTGCATGTCCATTTATATATATATTTGATTTTTGTTAAGAAGATTTATTGGTTTTCATACAAAATTCAGATACATTGTGTTTCATACCTTTCTCTAATCACATTGTGTTTAATACACTCATTCTCATACTTTTCTGTTTTCTAAAATTAATCACCATTGGTCCACGCCCACCATTACTCTGCCTTCTCCACCACTGGATCTTTGCTAATTTTTTAACCCTCTCCTCTGAAACCTAGCAACCTCTGAAACCTCACCATTTCCCCACCTCTCTGCCCTCACACCCTCTCTTACCTCCTCTTCCCCCTTTGGACTTTGGTACACATCTTACTGGTAATCCTTTTATTGTTACAAAAATTGTCTCATGCGGTATTCGTCCTTATGAGACTGAGTCAGTCCGTGCAACATAATGCTCTTCAGCCTCTCCCATGTTATATATTTTTCAATATCTCTGCTCCTTAGTGCTGTGTATTATTCCACATATGACTGTAAAACAAGTTCTCAATCCATTCAATTGTTGATAAGAGAGTTGGGCTGTTTCCATTTTCTTGCTGTTGTGAATAATGTTACTATGAATATTGGTGTACAACCCAGTCTCTGTGTCTCAGTTCTATTATGGGATTTCTATGTTCAGCTTTTTGAGGAAGTGCCAAACTTCCTCTCCAGAGTGGCTGTACCATTTTACCACTCCCTCCCCCAACTGTGTATGCAAGTTCCAATCTCTGTATATCTTCTCCAACATTTATTGCTTGCTGTCAGTAGGAACTCTTATACACTGTTGGTGGGATTGTAAAATGGTACAACCTCTCTGGAAGGCAGTTTGGTGTTTCCTCAAAAAGCTGCACATAGAAATTCCATATGACCCAGCTATTCCACTGCTTGGAATATACCCTGAGAAAATTAGAAATGAGACACAAATGCAGATTTGTGCACCAATGCTCATTCCATTGTTATTCACCATAGCAAGAACATGGAAACAGCCCAAATGTCCAATAGCAGTCAAATGGATTGAGAAATTGTGAAACCTTCACATGATGGAATACTACACAACATGCAGGAGGAATGATTTAAAAAGTTACTACATAGCTTGGAAGGTGCTGAAGTGCATTATGCTAAGTGAACTAACTCAATCCCTTAAGAACAAATACTGTAGAAGAGCATTATTGTAGAAATTGAAAGATAACTATTAAAATATGTAAGAGGATCCAAGGGGGAGAAGGTCGAAGCAAAAGGGTGAGGTTGGGCAGGGGAGTAATCATAGGGTTACACAATTTGATGGGTAAAGGGAGAGATGGGTAAAGGAAATGGGAACGATCTAGTATGAAAAACAGTGTATACAAACTTTGTAAGCAAAACAGTATATTTGATTGTTGGATTGTCTCACGCTATTTATTTCCTTTTGTACAAGAAAGTATTTATTCTGAGTATGTTTGGCCAATCAAGAAATACATTTTTAAAAAGGAAGAAGTAGAAACATTTTAAAAAAAAAATAGACGTGATAATAAATGTGTAAGAAGCTTGCCCATGTCTTTGCTTTTTAATATAATGATTAGAAGCCTTTATATTTTTGTGCACCATCCATTTTCTTACTCTGAAATGTTTGGCTGTTCCAGCAAGAAGCAGCTGTTAATTTTAAACAGGAAAACGAAACAGCTAACTTTACAGTAACTTTGTAATTTGTGTCCTGTGAAATTAAAGAGATCTTAAGAAGTTCAAAGAGTAAGCGAGCTACTCTATTTTATAGTCTATTTAGAAAAATAGAATCATCAAATGTCAAATCTTAATGATGAATTTTTATGCCATAGTATACTGTCACATTTAGATTTAAGTTCTACAGTTCTCAAAACTAAGGATAGTAAAACATTTTCTGTTCTTGAGGAAGCTAAACCAAAGTTTTCTCCTTTTTTTCCAAATACTAGGAAAATCTCAATAGTGTATTCCATAATATTTTCACTTAGGTCTTCCTTATTTATACAATTACATCATCCTTTTCTATGACATAATGAAAATAAGGCAAAACATATTTGTCTAGGCTTTTCTAGAAGTAGAAGGGAAAGTTACATTAAATAATTTCTTATTTACCCATTGCTATCCAGTCTCTTCAAGAAGACTGAGTGGCCAAAAACTGATAGACTCTTTATAAGCCTACTGTAACAACTTTTCTCAACTGCAGTCTGGCTGCCCAAGACTCCAACATTGTTTGCTCAGACAGCACCAAGTCTCTTTTGTGACCGGTGTAGATATGCACCATCTTGAATGTGTGAATGGTGTGCCCACCCTTCCTTCTGCAGAGAGCTGTGGTGTCACTTTTTTTTCCATTCTGTTGTACTCTAGTATATGTTTCAAAGTATCCAAAATTTTAAATAAGAATTTTCAGCTTTTTGTAGAGATAGTAGAATGGAACCTATTTTATATTCTGTGTATCACCTGTTAAATATTAAACCTAGTTACTACAGGGTGGATTCCTGCTGATGGGGACTTCATGTATTTCAGAGTATAACTGTGCTCCTTTGGATTTTTAAAGACTGATCTTTTAGAGATACTTTTGCCAGGATTTTCTTCCAGGACACCTCAGAGTAGATTTGAACTGTCAACCTTTTGATTTGTAGCTAGACCCTAAACAATTTGTACTACCCATGAACTCCTATCATTTTGTTTCTTTGGTTTATAACAATACTTAGTTGTATAATATGTGTCCATGACCTCAGAGGTGTCAAAAGAGGATCTTTCCTCTTTGCGGCTAGGTAAATTCAGAAAATTAGAAGTTGATTATTTGAAAGTTGAGGATTTGAAAAATCTGTACTAAAATCAAGGTGTTAGTTATCTCTAGGAGAGAAGAGTATGGTAGGGAAAAACATGAAAGTTTCCAGATTTTAACATAAATGAAGGTTACAAGGATATTCATTTTGAGTCATTTCATGATTAACTTTCATATTTTCTTCTATGGATTAAAACAATCTCCCAATATAATGTCCAAAGGGAAAAAAAATAAAAGTTACTGTGATCTTTGATTAGTAAAAACTTAGATTAAAAGACTGCAACATTCAATATGGACTACATCCCAACATCAAGAAAACACAAATCCTCACCAGTGGATCAATAGGCAAAATCATGATATTTGGGAAAACGTTTAATGTTTTCAACAGTTTCATTTTCTTTGGATCCATATTCAACAACCATGGTAACACTAGTCAAGAAGACACAAGACATACTGCATTGGGGAAATCTGCTGTCAAGGACTTCACCAAAGGCCTAAAGAGCAATAATGTCACTTGAAAGCCTAAGGTGTACTTGTTCCAAGCCAGAGTATTTTTACTTGCTTCCTACCCTTCTGGATTTGGACAGAAGATGAATCGATGTCTTTGAATTGTTGAGTTAGAGAAGAATGCAGAATAGCCCATGGGCTGCCAAAAGAACAAGTAAATCTATCTTGGAAGAAGTGCAAGCAGGATACTCCTTAGAGACAAGACTGATGAAACTTCATCTCAAATACTTGATATTATGCTAGGAAAAGTGGATGGTCAGAAAAAAAAAAAAGGAAGAGGCTTAGCAAGATGGACTGACACGGTTCTGTAACAGAGCTCGAGCACATCAGCTGAGGATGGTGCAGGACGAGGCACAGTTCAGATGACTGTGAGTTATAGTCAACTTGACAGCACCTAACAACAACGACAGCTTATATCAGCTCCAACGTCCTGCCTCGGACATCAAAGTGAGTTGTTGTTGTGGACCATCAAGTCAGAACGGACTCATACCTGATCCTCCAGTGGGTTTTCAGAGGCAGTTTACTCACATGGGATGAGATTGCCCATCTTTCTTCTGCTAAGCAACTGGTGGATTTGAACCATGTGCCTTTGCTATGGTAATGCACCTCCTTACCACAAGACCACCAGGGCTTCCAAGATAAGCTGTTTGGCGCTGTCAAGTTTAGTAGGATTCTGTGACCCTAAGAACAACACTGAACCCTGTCTCGTCTGTGCCATCCTCACAATCTCTGACACACTCAGGTAAGTAAGGATGTATGTACATTTGATTTTCCTTCTCAGAGACCTCAGCCAAGGAAACTCTTAGAAGAAAACCTCTCTCTTTTCTTCACATACCCAGCAATAAGACCTTAAGTACTCTCTGGGATAATGAAAGTAAATTCTTTAATGTGTGTTTTTTACATTTGACTCTAAATATGTGATTTGTTTATCTGAAAAAATAAGCAATGGTGATCAAAACACAAAAGGAGTAATTACTACTTAAAGATGGAGAACCATCATGTGTAAACTTTGTTGTGTAATCTTATGAGAGTTATAAAGCTTTTCTAGATGCAATTTCCACATGTTAATTGTAACAGAGATGCCACATATTCATTATAACAGAGATTTTGTCTCTGTTCTGTTCTTTCAGGTATCCACGTCACTGAATCAAGACAGAAATGAAGAAGGTATGGTATATTTCTGTCTTTAAGGAGTTGATAAATTAGCTCATTATGATGATGATGATGATGGTGATGATGATGATGATGATGATGGTGATAACCAAGCAGAAAATAAACTAGATTAATTTAAAAGTTATATAAACAAAATGAAATGTTTTAAACAGTAAAATTTCCACGACACACTTCTTAATTCTAGAAAATTCATAGAAGTATATCTATAACTTTTATCCTAGGAAATGGTATAATCAGACAATGACTTTTTAAAAAAAAAATGTATAAAATACTAGGAAGTTCCAGACTATTCTGTTAAATTTGAAATAATTCCATTCATCTGAATCTGGGAAATTTTATTATCACCCATGATTTTCCTTAGTTTCTCATTTTAACTGAAAATTATAAAATTAATGTTTACAGTATGATTACAAATGCTTATAGTATCTTCTATTTTAAGGCAGTAGATTTGGTTTTAAATGTATTGCCTTTTTAAAATTTTCTGCTAGTTTATTTAGAAAATACGAATACAATTTTTTAAGAACAAATTATGGTATATTTTTATTACCCTTATTTGAAGCTATTTTGAGAAATAATAAGTAAAAATTCCAAAATAACAAACATTATAGAATTTTAAAATACTGTAAAATTTTTGACCATTTTTTATAAAATATTAAAAGAAAATTTAACTTGCAAATTTTTAGGAACAGTGAAAACTATTTACTGTGACTCAAGTTTTAAGATCTTTATAAAGAAACAAATCCATTAACATGGTTTCATGGGAAAGTAGACTGTATTCCTCGTGGTATGCAAACAGATTGTTTCTCGGTAATACTATCCCATTTGAAGTAGCTGACAAATCTAACACTACAAAGTTTTCCTAGACCTTTCACTGCTGAAGATTGAGAACTAACTACAATATTTCTCAATTGGAACTAAAATGACCTGGAAAGATAGAGGAAATAACGTGAGAAACTTCCAGAATTTTTAATGTAATTTTATATAAGGCTTGAAGCCAAATGAGAGAAATTAGAGAAGTAGCTTCAAATACAGAAATGTGAGATGTTACGCTTGTGTTTATCTGCCAAAATATCTTCTAAAGGTCTAAATGAAATTTATCTTATCCTTCCTTTCCTCACCCCATCCCCCACCCCCCCTTCCCTAACACCTTTTCTCTACCATCTTAAACACAGATCAAGTATGGCACTTCCTTGGCAAGTGATTGGGACATTTGAAATTCTGCCATCGAGACTTCAATCATCCTGTTCCCCTAAGTGTTAGAGACAGGCAGGTGTGTGAGCATTTGCTGACTTCCTGTTGAAACTGCTTTTCCCTATGACTTTTAAAAATATAAAGTACATGAATAAGCACTGGAAAAATGTTTAATTAGTCTCCTGTTGGTATGGAAAGATTTTATTTAATTACATAAAATAAATTTTGAAGTATTGAGTTTTGACCAGTTTTCATTTCTAAGGGACCGAATGGTTTCATTACCTTTTACTTCTATGTCTTGATGTAAAAATTGTTAGAAAGACAGTGTTTTTTATAGATATCATTATCTGCGTTTTCATTCCCTCCTTTTCCTACTAAAGTCTACTGCTGGGATTGGGGAAGGCATCATTTGGCCATCTTCCATCTCTCTTGTTATTGGGTAGATATGTTCATATTGATTCAAGCTCTTTTCTATAATCTGTGATATTACAAGCCCTAAACTAGTTTTTATTCTTATCTACCTATCTTAATTTCAGGTGTCCTTTCTTTGACTCCCAAATACACATAAGAAGACCTATCTTATGCTCTGGTCTGCCTGTTGAACATCTTTTTTAATTCCTTTAACCTTTCTTGTCCCACATTCATCTTCTCTTACTCCTTCTAAGAAATAAAATTAACATTCTCTTAGACTCAACTTGAAAACAAATTGGACCTCTCTTTTCCTATCTCTGTTCATCAAGTCATGCAGCCATTTCTTTTACCTGTCCTCTCCATTCCATTACCACCCATACTCTACAGGGGTATTTTTCCTCATAATTCATTTGGATCCTTATGACAGCATCCTATCTGTTCTCCATGCTTCTCAGAGCTAGCCTATCTGCTTCATCCTCCTTTCTCTACATTAATGTCATGTCCTTCTTTCTGAAAATCAAGTGGTTTTTCCTGTGTTCAGCTCTTCTCCCTCCATTCCATCTTGTAACTTTCCAAACAATAATTAATATAAAATAGAGATCTGGTTGTTTTTTTTTTACAAAATGCTTTCAAGGATTTTTAAAATTATTTTTAAATTTTATCTATCTTTTTTTTTAGTTGAGTGAAGAGTTACAAATAATACTAGTTCTTCCATTTGGTTATTCAAGTGTATTTTATACCATTAATTACAATTGATTAATGTAATCAGATTATAATGTTTGATTGGTTCCCTATGAGATATTGTCTTTCCCCTTCACCCATTAATTTTTATTCCCCTCTTCCTCTTTTCTCATTTTTAAGAACCGTATCAAGAATCTGTATGCAAACCAATACTTAGTTTTTCTATAAAAATGAACTTGTGCCATAATTGTCCTTTTGTGACTCAGTATCATTTACTGTAGATTCTTCCATAATGTGCAGTGTTTCATAAATTTTTTATTGTTTTTAGGAATGCACAATACGTGTGTGTGTAAATGTACCACCGTTTCTTTAGCCATTTGTTTGATGATGGACACTTGAGTTCTTTCCAACTCTTTGTTATTATAAGTAATGCTGTAATAAACATGAATGTACATGTATCAGTTTGTGTCACAGTTCTTATTTCTTTGGGGGTGAATTTTATATATCTATACATCTATATATAGCTATATCTATATATCTATATCTATATAGCTATATCTATATCATCAATATCTATATCTATCTATATAAAATATAAAAATGAGATTGCTGAATCAAATGGTATTTCTATTCCCAGCTTTTCTAAGAAAGCACCAAACTGCTTTCTATCGTGGTCACACCATTTTACACTGCCCCCCAGCAGTGTATGAGAGTTCCTATCACTCACGCCCTTACCAGCATTTGTTGTTTGCTGTCTTACTGAACGTTGGTATCCTGTGAGCTGGGGTTGTATCTCATTGCTGTCTTGGAAAAAGTTCAGCCAGAGTGATTCTTAGAGGCAAGGGTGGCAGAGCTTCGTCTCATAAACTTTGGGTATGTTGTTAGAAGGAGAAACTGATCTTTATTCAGTTGACTTTATTTTCAAATATGTTTTTTAGTAAAAATTTACAAGTCATATTGGTGGTTTCTAGTATTGAGAATGAGTATAAAGAATACACTTCCAATTTCCTGAGGTGTGCCATTTTCACACTTTACTGTTCTGTTTAGTCTTCTACAAACCTGTCCGTACATTTACACTCACAGTACTGTGATTCTCTCATGTTGTCATTTGTTTGTGTTTTTCTCCTCCTTATCTCCTATTGCTGCTGTTAACACTTTTCCTTTACATAATATGCTTTGAATGCTAGAAAGCATTGTTAAAATACTAATACTTGGAGTTTGTTGAGCTTGTGTTACCCAGTGTTGTTGTTAGGTACAATCTGAATGAGTTCGACTCATAGAGACCCTACAAGCAACAGACTTGAACCCTATCCTGTCCTATGTCATCCTCACACTCTCTTACACAGTTGAGCACATTGCTACAGTCACTATTGTCAGTCTTGTTGGGGATCTTCCTCTCTTTCAGTGGCCCTCCACTTTTCTAAGCATGATATATATCTCTTTTCAAGGAATAGCCTCTCCTAGCAACATGTCCAAAGTGTAAGAGATAAAGCCTCTCCATCTTTATCTCCAAGGAGCATTCTGGCTGTACTTCTTCCAAGACATACCGGTTTGTTCTCCTGGCAGTCCATGGGGTATTCTGTATTCTTCTCCAATACCACAACTCGAAAACATCAGTTCTTTTTCTGGCATCCTTATTCATTGTCCAGCTCACAGATGCTTAGCAAGAGATTGAAACGACTGTGGCAAAAAAAAAAAAAAAGACAAGACTGTTGTCTGAATCAGACACTTCTTACTCTTCAAACTGACATCATTGTTCTTCAGTATTTTAGAGAGGTACCTAACAGTAGACTTGCACAAAGCAAGTTTGACTGCTGATATCAACAATGTTTCTTGTGGATCCAGGTAAGGTGAAAGCATTGATGGTTTTAATCCGTTCTCCATCTGTCATGATGTTGCCTGTTGGCCCATTGGTGAGGACCTTTGTTTTCTTAATGGTGACATGTAATTTACATTGAAGTTGGTAGTCCATGAGCTTCTGCAGAAGGTGTTTCAAGTCCTCTCTAATTTCAGCAAGAATTCATAAATTCATCTGCATCATGCAGGTTTTTGATGAGTCTTCCTCCAACCTGATGCCACATTCTTCTTCATAGAGTCCATCTTCCTTATTATTAATTATTGCTCAGCATACAGATACCAAGGATCGCCAAGAAAACAAGTAAGTCTATCTTGGAGAGGGTAAAACCAAGTTTCTCCTCGGAGGCTAGGATTTTGAAGCTCCATCTCACATACTTTGGGAATGTGGCCCAGGAAGGACCAATCTATGAAGAAGGACACTATGCTTGGAACAGTGGAGGGAAAGCTAGGACAGGAAGACTCCAGATGAGATGGATTGATAGAGTAACTGGGGCAATGGGAGGGGTAGGTGTATCAGAGTCAGTGAGACTGGCTCAGGCTAAGACAGTGTTCAGAGCTGCTGTAAATAGGGTCACTAGGAGTCATAGGCATATGGGGAAATGATACGACCCTGATGCACACCATTCCTGATTATAAGCCATTCAGTGTTCCTTTGTTTCATTCAGAAAACAGTTTCTTGGTCTAGGTATGGATTTCGTATGAGCACAAATAAATATTCTGGGATTCATATTAGGTAATATATATTCATATACTCTGTTGTTGTGTGCCATCGAGTTGCTTGCGACTCATAGCGACCCTATGTACAAGAGCCCTAAACCCTGCTCTATTCTGTGTCAATCTTACTGTCTCTGACA